AATGCGTCACTGAACAAGTTTTGCAAATCAGTTGAGTTGTTTGATTTCGACAACTTTGTTACAACTATTTAATTTATTTCTAAAAGTGTGTGACCTGTAAAAGCTGTAATTAAAAAATCGACGGTTTGATCTTTATGATGCATGAAGGAATATCAAAGACAGTGCTTGCTGAAATACAAACAAAAAAACAAACCGAAGTTAAAAAAAACAATCGTAAGAAAATTTCCCTATATGTTTACTTTATCGTATATCGGAGTTTATTGAAACACTAGTGTATACACAAAATCAAGGCCGGAAACCCTATTAATACCAGGTTCGTTTGATAAGTCAGTCACTTTTTGAATGAAATTTTTTTTTTCGGTCAAAAAACGTTTTATTTCTCAACATAACCTCCATTTTTTGTACAATATACAATTTTAGCTCGATACACTAAGATCTCTTTTACACGCGTCTCCAATTTTTTTATCCTTTTCAAATAATATAATTTCTCGAGGTTCACAAATCATGCGTTTGTTTCAATGATGACCTCTTGGACCCAACTCTAAGAAATTGTTTTAGCCGCCCAGCCATTTCTCCATATTTGGAAACGGAAAATTGTCCAGGGGTCTAAATCTGGAGAATATGGAGGGTGGGGTAGCAGTTCGTAGCCTATTTCATGGATTTTTGCCATGGCGACGAACTGTGTGTAGTTTCATTTCATCAAGTCAACATCGAATCTTTTCAAAGGTTCTGAATAAAATGCGCACGTGATAGTTTTACCCTTTTTCAAGGTAATCGATGTGAATGACACCGCGTGCATCCCGAAAAAGAGTGACCATTACCTTGTTGGGCGACAGACCCATTTTGACCTTTTTTGGTGCACGTTTACCTGAAGAAACCCACTTGATTGTTCTTTGGTCTCTGGTGTGTTGTAATGGATCCACGTATCGTCAACGGTTACGAAACGTCGCAAAAAAACGTTCGGATCGGCAAAACATCGCTAATCATTCATTTGAAATGGTCACTCGTGTGTCAGCTATCGCGGCACCCATCGTGCGGATAACTTTTCCAGATCCAAACATTCACGTTAAATGTGAAGTACCGGCTCAGTTGAGATGCCTACAGCCTCAGCCATCTCTCGCCTTTTTATTCTCCGATCGTCCAGTATCGTTCCATGTATTTTATCGCCCATTTCTGGCGTAAGCCCGACTTTTGGACGACCTGAACGTTCTGCGTCATTTGTACTGGTATGATCACAACGAAAATCAGTAAACCGCTTTTTAACCTTTGAAATTGATGGTGCAGGGTCCCCATAGTATTTATTAAGCTTTTCCTTCGTTTCTTTTGTTTTTTTACGCAAAAAAATAATGCTTGATGAGCACTCGATATTCACTTTCTTCGATTTTCGTCGAAATTGACAGTCATGTCTTTTCAATGACTGTTAAACACGAACTAAATGACATTGCGTGCTCAAAATTTCACAGCAGTCTACTAACATACGACAGTTCACGGGAGTAGTGTTGAATTTAAAGTTACTGACTTATTAAATGACCCTCGTAGTTTGTCTAGTCAAACCAATTTATCACTTGAAATAAAAAACAACATTTTAAACTGTAATTATTTGGAAAATAATGATAAAATGTGCAAATGAGGGAATAACAAAACATACTTGTAATGTTCGTATGAGTATAGCTGGATTTATAAGCTCTGTAGTTGGTGCCGTTCATCGTTCGTAGTTCGCACTTGCACATTTTGTCACTCGTTTCCAATAGATTTCCATGACGTTGGCAATTTACCAAATTTTATTTCGCCGACTGCTGAGTTCATTTAGTTGGCGAATCAACCAACGACAGAAAGAGTTTCTCATCACATGAGCGATTGTACGTGACATTTGTCAAAATGAGGCTGTGTTTTGCCTAGATGGCAGATCAAGTTAATTTCGTTGAAGATCCAGACTTTAGCAGCTTGCTAATAGAACGAATTCAGAATTATGAATATATTTACAACTGCATCCATACTTTTGTTATGTTTAACAAACAACATAACCAATATATTAAATCATATGGGCATACGATTGACAGATTTATCAATCTGACCAATCAAATTATAACGTCGCCAACTGCGAATTATTTAATATAAATCATCAAAACCCAAACTACGCGTACAACAGTAACAGAAACGGATTGGCACCTGCACGATCGGCGAACGGCACCAACTGCAGAGTTTATAAATCCAGCTTAAATACGTTTATTTCTCGAACGTCGGCAGCTGCGGACTTCGAACGATGAACGGCACTAACTGCAGAGTTTATAAATCCAGCTTTATTAATATTCGTACAAAAACTCATATTCGTGCATTTATTGCATGTGAGCAAATGTTTGAGCTCTGGGAAAACTTCTTAATACAAATTTTTTTCTAAATCATTATTTTTGTATGTTACATTATGCGTAAAAAGTAATTATAGGGGATCACTTGAAAAGTACGAGAAAAGTATTGAATTATTTTTCCAAAATTGCTAGAAGATATTAACAGTTGAAAATCGAATTTCAACTTTGTTAATAAGGATTATTATGAAATTGCCCTATTTTCCAAAAAAATTGACACTTCCAGGCACCGGATATTTGTCCTGATGACTCCCCCGAGGAAGGGCTACATACCTGCCACGTATGTAAGATACACAGAACACAACAGTACGTTAAATCTCTAGTCTACCAAACAGCGGTACAAATTGAGCACAAGTTAATTAACCAAATAAGAGTTTACAATAAAATTATAACAGGGGAACAAACGTGTTTGGAATTAAACGGACAGAACTTCGAACACCTCTTGTAAGTTCTCCACAATTCATATTTGCTCAATGATGTTGTTTAAAGATATTGATTGAATTAACTGATTTTTAATAATAATTTAAAAAAATTACTGTTTAGGAAATATCAAAGGTGTTTTGAATTCAAATTTTATGTCATTTGAATGTGCTTCGAAATCAATCTCTGGATCAGTTCAGAAAACTTTTGTTCTTGTTTCCCATTATTTTATTTTCTTTGCAGCTTCTAAATCACAGAAATTCTTCACCAGCAAGCTGTGAAATAGTGCGTCGCCGTTTGAAACAAAAACAGGAATTGAAACTTAATATTGTACTATGAATTATTTACAGATTTTTCGAAAAAGTGATTTGAACTATTTTGAAACTCGTAGATGTTCATATTTTGCTTTAAGGATGCACCTTAGAAGACTTAATTAATGCACCTAAAAAATGCGAATTATGAGCACAGAACCAACCTCTTTCTGGTTCCGGATCTTTGGACAACACTTAATACGGTCAGAACGGTGACGCAAACGGTCCACTTTTTTATATTTCTTCAAAGCAACTGCAAAAAAGTATTAGATAACCTACTTTTTAAATTGTTACTTCTTAAGCTTGTACAAACTCGATATATTTGAAGCACATGAGCACTGGCAGGACTTGCGAGATCATCTCAAAAACCAACCCTAGTGTTGAAAGATATGGATTTATATCGCGTCAAAGTTGTGACATTCTGGAGACTTAAAAACCGTAAATTATTGCTGTTAAAGAATTAAGAAATATAGAGTTCTTTTTAAGGCCCAAAATCAACTTTTCCACGAATTTTTTAGCAGAGTTAAATAATTCCTATAAACCAGTGTTTTTATTGAAAACATACATGTATATGAGAACTTGTACACTTTAATTTGTTATATTTTCGTACATATTTTCGCACTGTTTAATTTAACACTGCTAAAAAAATATAAGTTGAAAAAGTTGCTGTGTTTTACTTAGTCCCGAATTTTCCTATCCGTTATCATTAGGTATAAACCCAAAAACCCATAAATGTCTGAATATTTAAGTTTCTTCGAATGTAATAAATCCATAATGAGTAAATAGTCGATTTTATTATTATTATTCCGAACCTAAATATGAAAATTGCCGTCATTTCCAAATAAATTGTTGAAAATCTATTAAAATTGCGGGAGAAAAGATGCGATTTGCGGCAACAAAATGTTGTGTCTCACAAGATTGTGCCAGCCGGTAGGGTCAAAGATCTGATGGGTTTCAGCAGGTAGAAATCCTAAAGTTAATGAATGAAGCAATGAAGAACATCCAGTGGTTTCTTACCTAAACATAATAACAGCGGATTACCGAATATGTGTTTTCTAAATATGAAATAATTTCATTTTGATCTAAATAAGTCGATACATATCCGATCTTGCACACTAAATTCTAGTTAAGCCGAAACAGATTAAGCATTCGGTGAAATCGTTGTAAATTGAATTAGTTGTACGCAAGTTCAGAATCTGCTATCCTTGTATAGAACACTGGTTTTATTTAGAAGACTATACCATCGAAGATAAACGAGCAGTAATAACCGTAAAAACTTCCAAAGAATATTCGTGAGTACAACCGGATAGGGGCGCTACGAATCGTAAACTTTACTCCCTTTTGTTGTTTACACCGTTTTAAAAAAGCAAAGAGACAAACAAATACAAAAGTCATAGGCCGGTATCTTTAGTCGAGCTTCGGAACTTTGGCGGATAGTCGAGCTTGCCGCGGTCGACGCAAAAGCGATAGGTTGCAAATCTGTTCTTCGTTAGGTCGAATCGCCGACGATTGTCCCATAAAATGAGCGTGCGCAATCTCGCTATTCTGGTATTCCCCGCCGCCTGCTTTTGCGGTGCGGCAATAAATGCGGCAAAAAAACTATTTTTTCTAAGAAGACATTTGCGGTGAAAGCCGTTATTAACGTTGGGAAAATCAACCAATTGATTCCGAAACTTCTATTACAAACATAAAAAAAATGTAATGCAGTAATAATTTTTGTTTTTTATTATTATTATTTCAACAACACATCATGCAAACAAGCTGGATTTTTTTCCACCTACTACTAAAACGGACTAAATAAAATGAATTAAAAATATCTGTTGTAAAAAGAACAGGGAGGCCCCGATTTGTGATTTGTTCCTGGGGATTGATTAATGGTAATTTTCATGGAAAAGACATTGTTATTAACCGTTGAGAAATTCTATCAAAAAAGATGTCCAATATTAAATATTGGAATTAACAGTTTAGAAGTATTTTCATGTACTGATTACCACTGTAGAATGCATCGAGATCGTGATCCATATTTAGAAAACGTTAAATACCTAGATAGAACACGACAATTCGTGACGCTGATAGCTTTCGCTCACCAAATTTGCACTAAATAGCTTTGGCGATCGTTCGGAGATGCCTACACTCACCTCCGACAAATTCTCACCGCATCAACATTAATATGCGCGTGCGCAGATGCCCAACCGATCGCGTGTGCAACCAAAATTGCCACCAGCGAACGTTGAGAGGCCGGCGCATCGTAAGTGAGCGACTAAATAAACCGGCCATAGACATCCCATGACTGGGAGACCCTAATATAAAAGAGCAAGTAAGCTCACTAGAAAGAGAACTCATCAAGATAGAAGACACGGAGGTAACCTGGAGCGTAAACAATATACAAAAGCAACAGATAGGGTTCATAGAAATCAATAACAAGCAGAGGTGGATGACGCAGGAAATACTCTCCTTGATGAATGAACGAAAGAAGCACAAGGAGAAAAACCGAGACAAATAGAGAGAACTCAACAAAGCAATTAGAAAACGTGCAGAGAAGCCAAAGATCGATAACTGTCCGCACAATGTCAGATGGAATTACTACAAGCAAAATACGAAGAACTCGTGGGAAGAGGTCGAAAGCAACCAGCAGCAGTTTTGAAAGATGCCCGGGGAAAAAACCTTGCAGAATAAAGGATGTAGAATACAAAAAAATAAATATTCTTATTTCTGCGCCCCAGCTGATATATAAATACTGCTCGTATGAAGCTCTTTACTAGATTGGAATTGATCTTGGACCTCAAGACACGCATGCTCCGTTGCTATGTGTTCTCTGTCCTTCTATCCGGCAGTGAGAGCTGGACCCTTGATCCCATAACGGAGAAGAGAATCGACCTATTTGAGACGTATCTCGATCGAAGCATGCTCAGAATTTCTTGGGCACAGAATATAACCAATATAGAAGTTCTAAGACGTATGAACAAACGAAAGGAACTGCTACAAACTAGAAAAGAAACAAAACACAGTATCTTAGACATATTATGAGGGGCAGCGGATACGAAATCCTAAAACTCATCACCGAAGGGAAGATACAGGGAACAAGATCCATCGGAAGAGCCAGAACTCATGGCTGAAGGACATCCGTAGGTGGTTTGGGCGCACATCCACAAAAATTTTCCGACCAGCTGTTTCCAAAATCACAGTGGCCATTTGGATCGCCAACCTTCATAAGGAGACGGCGAGATAAGACGCAGAAGCTAATGATCTTACTTAAACTATTTGAGATGTTTCAACCCATATACCACACCAATAAATTGTCTTTGTAGGTTAAACGCACACAAATTCGGAAAAAACAGAAACATAGATGGAAAAGATACGTTTTGACTTTAAAAAAACCTGACCTACCGCAACACAGCTAATGTCATGCCGACAATACCAATGGCGCGTATTTAGTTCTCTATACTTGCTTTTGGCTCTAGCCTTATGTTTCCTTCTCTCCTCCATTAGCTGGAGGACCTCATCCACTGCAGTCTTGTTGGTTTGTGTATACCCCACGTCGTATACTTGCGTATCTATAAGAGCACGCTGGGGACATCTCTGGAATTCTCGATATATAAAATGTTAATGAGGTAATAAATACCATGTACATATCATATTTTTCATCAACTAATCTGAGTCCCATATTTCTTCTGAACTGATCTTAACCTCTAAAGCAGTTAGTTTTTCTATTAGGGCGTATAATTTTTCATGACATGCACTAATATTGTACACAATTCACCAGAAATTTCAGATGCTATGTTTGATTCAATAAGTTGACTTTTTGTCAACTTTTTCTCCACGTTTTGTAAGTGCATACAAAGTCGTTTTCGAGGTTATGGTCGGTTTTCAGAACTTTTGAAATTCTATCCTTATTTTTAATACTGAATAAGATAAAATTATGAAAAATGAGGGGGGGGTGGTTTCCATTTAAAAAAATGGATTTTGGGCGGTTTTTTCAACATCATTTTGTAACACTTGGAACGCCTATGATGACCCTGCTCGGGCGCAATGGTGTCTCAGAAGTTCTCTTTGTATTGTTAGGGTTTATTGCCGGTAAATTATGTAATGAGTTATGTGTGACCTTCCGGAAGGCTGACTATTGCTTCGAAGGGCACCACACTCAATGACGGAAGTTATGTGACCTTCCCGAAGGCTGGCTATTGTCTTGAAGGGACACCACACTCAATAACGGAGCCAGCTATAAAACAGGCGGTTTAACGGAAGACTCCTCATTCCGATAGCTGATTTTCACAAAAACGTAGTCACTCTGTCGGTTGTAACATTTAAATAATAAAACTGTGTTTTAAAGTGATTTTTAATAAATCCAAATATAATTCATGTTCGGAGTTGAACCGGTTTTCGGCGGTTTTCTCGGGCGCCGGCCATCAGAATTTATGTGGTGATGGCTTCACAGCTAGGGTAGCTTTCATACAGCGGAGAAGCAAAACAACCCAGAGGTCAATACGCAGTCAGCAGAATTAAACGCAAACAATAAATGGTTTATTCATCAAATAAAACAGAATTTCTATCGCCGTGTTACTACGGAAGGTGGTCTACGTTTAACGAAATACAATAAGGTTTTTGGCCTTAATGAGACGTTCTACATTTAATGAAATAACATAAGCTTTAATGAACACAAAATCAAAGTTACAAGTGTAAGACGTAAGTAAATAACGAAACCAATAAATTCTAAACGACCCCCAAAGTGGACATAGAAGCCGTGCAGATAAAGGTTGACATGTACAGTAGCGGTAGGATATCATGCGGAACTATTGGGGACCGTTTCAAGGGCATCGCCCGTCAGTTTTAAAAGGAAGATTTATGTACAAAAGCTGACCCAAATTCCGATCATCCTATTCAAGTACGTCGTTCTACCGCCCAACGAGAACTTTTTCAAATTCGTAGAACTCAGGGCTGGAGCTTATTACAAGCTCCTCCTTACGCGAAGAATCTGGGGAAAATTTGACTCAAACTCCAGCCAACCTGGGGGTGGGAATCTGTCAATAAATAAGGGTAAAATCACAGGCCGTACTGTTAGTTCAAATTCGCATTAGAACAGCAATTATCAGTGATTTCGTGTTAGTGTAAAAATCAACATCAGGTGAGTTTCTCACAGAGTAGCCTTTTCAATATTTCTTATTG